AACTATGGACTTGCCTTAGACACTAGTCTGAGTTATTTTTGCTGTAATTGTACTTGGATGATTTTTCAGAGAAAATGAAAGTCACTCGAGAGATTTTTTGGGTATATTTTGTTTTACGTTCATGTAAGGTCGTATGCAGTTATGAGGACAACAAGTATACCTAGTCGAATAACCCATAAAGTGGGGTAGTTAGTCGATTTCTTAAGATATGGGCATATCAGGATTTCCATAATTGAAATCTCTATTCTTTTTTCTTTTGCCATTTATTTCTTTGCATCCAAATCTCCTTAACAAGCCCTCGAGCCTCCTTTGCGCTGCCTTCCTTATAGAAGCCGACCCGAAGGCCGAATTCTATGGTAGAGAAGGTTTCACCCGAGAACCTACCCTTTCCTAGTGGGACCGTGTAATAAAACTGAATAGATGGAAAAAAGGATTGCTTAACTATTATCGGTTTGAATGCGACTGATCTCAAGGAAAGAAGGAAAGAGACTGAGTCCATGTTCCCCTACTGAAATTTAGGGAAGGTGCACTTACTTTTACAATTTTAAAGATTATACATGGTTAGTGGACGAGTTTGGGAACAATAGAGGTGAAGATCAAGAAAGAAAGAGCCGTTGTTGTTGAGTGTAAAAGATCAGATTGATTCAGAAAGGCAATTGAATCAGCAGAGAGACTTGATGGGTAGTCTGGTGAAGATCTCGGAAAAGAGAATATGAAGAGGGATATTCACAAAAGATGGTGATGATTGATCATCATCTTCATCATCAGTGTTTGTACTACTTTTTTCGTCTCTCTCTACCTCAGTCGTGTTTGCTCTTTCTCTTTTACTTCCTTAGGGTTGTTTATATTGTGTAACTCCCCTAGAGGAGAACAATTATTGATATGAATTTTTAAGATAGTAGAATTGTTTTTCTGAAGAACACGTTACTTATAATTGGGATTGACTGGAGTTGTGTTGGAAAAAAAAAAAACAAGAATTAGGATTGATTGGAGTTATGTTGGAAATAGAATTAGGATTGACTGGAGTTAAATTGCACGTATCCTTTAGGGTGTTTTATTGGTATTTTTTCTTATGTGATTTTAGAATATTTCATGTGTAAAAGTATATTATTGAAAAGTGACTATCAATTTATTTTAGGTCAAAACGGAAACGCTGACAAGAAATAAAAGTGACGAATCTGAAACAGTTTATGCTAGTTTGTTTGTTACAAATTACAACCCCATTGGTAAATGTATCAAAATCTCTCATTTATAGATGTAAGAATAAACTAACAACGGCGATGGGTGTTTACCATGCAAGAAAGTCAACAATCCGAGAACAAAGCAAATAAGAAAGATTTGTAATATTGAAGTAATTTTATAGCACTACAACTATGTGTATTTATATACAATGGACACAACTCTTGGTGTTGTTTCACAACATCAATAGTCACAAGGCTTTGTCTAAGAGTTGTGTTATTTGGCTTTCAAATTCAAACTATTGCTTCCAAATTGGTTCTCCTTTCCTGTGGGAAGGTTCATCACCAATCAAATGAGTTATTATTGAGTGTGGAGAGACCCACCGAATCATGGTGTGGTCACTCTCATTCCATCAATAAATTCATAGTATAATTAGGTTTCCTCAAATATCCCAAATTTGCACTCTTTATTTTTTACCTTCAAAATGATAACGATACTGTTGGCTTTTTGGCTTTCGAAGGTTATTTTCGTAATTGCGAGCGTGCTAGCAAGGATCAATCAGTCCTTACAGAAAATTAATTGCCAACCAATTATCAGACGATTGTGTTTTAGTTCTTTCAGCCTCAATGAAGAGGACTTTTACTGGTGGTTTGACTTAGGAGAATTAAGCAAAATAACAATTAAATGAAGAACAATTGAAGCATTTCATTAGAATGAAAAACTTACAATGATCCAAACTCAGCCTCGTAGAGGTTTACAGTGACAATCTACTTGAAACTACTCCTATGAACGAAGTGCAGTGCAGGAATTTTAAAGTGCAGAAACGTAAAGAACTAGAAATATAAAACTGGAAATGTACAACTGGAAAAGAAAAATAAGTAAAATAAGATTGGTTTTTTTGATCTGGGTCTGGGTCCTTTTTTCTGGGTCTTCTCTGCTATTTATACTTCTCAAGGATGACCATCGAACTGCATTTCCAACCGTCGAACTGTTCCTCCATGATCGTTGATCATGTTGCCTTATAATTAGCTCCACTACGCTATCTCTTGCAGTTAGACTTCCCTCCTAATTTTGAATTTAAATGTGAGTAACCGTTGAAGCCACGTCACTCTGTATCTCTTTGTTGATCCACTGCTACTCAGATCTCGTAATAACCAATATTAACTGCCACGTGTACGATTAGGATCGAAGACTTGAATAGTCTTGATGTATTACCCTTATTCTGCCACGTGTTGAATTGTAGTTGATTTGTACAAAATATGTAGCCAACAGATACCAACTAACAAATAACCTCAACCTTACTATTGTCCAAATGATTTGTTCCACATTCTTGCTTCATTGCTTGAGCTTTTAAATTGAAATGTAATTAGAGATATTTATAACATGTGGTCCATTCAAATAGCATGGAAATTAAGGTCATGCAAATTGTATTGAAAATAGCATTGAAATTGGTTCATGTAAATTGTATTGAAATTGCTTCATGCAAAAGGAGGATGCAGTAGGAGGCTTAAAACACACAAAGAAAATAATAATAATATTAATAATGATGTTTATGCTATTGAAGTATGTGTTTTTTTTTCTTTTTTCACATTGCTCGATTTTCAAGCTAGAGACTTTTCAGTTTGTTTGCCATTACTAAGGAAATTCATGGACATTTTTTTTCCTCTTCTTATTAATATACTTATACTCGGTGGGTTATAGTTAGTTCAACTTGGCTTGCGGTCGCAATTAGAACACCATGACAACAAGGATTACATTACCCATGGCAACAGGGACACGATGGGATTGTGATGTCATATATACTATTAGGGTTTAGTTTGGCTTGACAAAGAGACAAGCATGCTCAAATTCTTATTGCAATTGTTGAAAACTTGTGAAAATTTACCTATATTTTCTATCCCTTAGTTTGAAAGTCAAGTTTAGAGCATGTTCATTGTTTGTTTGTTGTTTTTTTTAGTCCAATTTAGGACGACTAGGTAGGCCTGACCTTGAGATTTCTGGGACTTAAAGGCGATAATTAACTAATAAATTTATGGGGTCCTTCACATTTGTTTTTTTTATTGAATGAAAAAAAAAAATTTAAAAGTAAAAGACAAAAGATTTGTGTCAAAATCACAAAAAATATCTAACATTGCATTATAACAATTAATAAGTATCGTTTGATTTTCGCTCTTTATTCATTTTTAGAAGCAAATAAATCAATTATGCTTGCATAATCTAGTTTTTTTTTACAAAATCATTTTTAATGGATAACAATGCTAATTATTTTAAATGGGCCTTTCAATTTTTTAATAGATCAATTTATTTTAAGTTAATTTGGGCATTCCTTGATTTTTTTTTGACTTAAAATATACTTCATATATTGCACTAAACTATAACAGGAGGGCCCGCCTTTGTAGATCTATTTTCAATTGATAACAATGCTAATTTTTTTGAATGGGTCTTTCAATTTTATAATAGGTCAATTTATTTTAAGTTAGTTTGGGTTTCTTTAATTTTTTTTGGGCTACAAACATACATAATATATTACACTAAATCATAATAGGAAAGAATCCATTTTTTAAATCTATTTTGAAGAGCCCTATCTCATGGCCTTGTGGGCCTATGCCCAGAGCCAGCCCTGCGACTACGAGAGTATGTTATGGTTGTCCTCTCCAATTGATTCATTTAAGATCCTCTATTTCCCATTTTGATGCATGGTTTAGAATAAGTTTATCTTGTGTGGGACATATATATATTGTTAGAATTTTTAAATAAATGTATTTCAAAATACAAAATTAATTTAGTTTTATTATGCATTTAATAATATTGTTTAATACATAGCCATTGCCATCTTTCTTTCAAACCCAAAAAACTCATTTCAATAAAAATTTTACTATCTTAAAAACTCAATAAAACTTCATTAATTTTGTCAACAATCAGTAAAATTTCACTAATAAATGTAAATGAATATTTACCAAGTTAGTAAAATTCCACTAATCAAATACAGTCAAATTACTTCTTAATCGACTCATTTTGGGCCTAATCACACTACTCCAACACCTCACAACCTACAAAATAAAATAAAAAATTAAAAATACAGTAAGAAAACATTTTTTTTGGGACAAAATTAATATTCATTTGTTTTGACGTAAAATATTTTTGTAATATTTTACTTATTTTTCATTATTTGGTTGAACAAAAAGCATGTAAAACATTTTTTAAAGAATATATTTTTGTATCATTTTTATAAAGTTGACTCTATTCACTACATTTTCAACATATTTAATTTTTTTCAAATAAATATCTTAACTCACTAAATTATCATAAATGACATTTTATTAAATCAAAACTTCTTTCTTAGGCAATAAAATATTTTTATTTGAAGAATCAACCAAATGCTGTAAAATAAAAATAAAAATTGTTTTTGTGTAAAATTAATTTAATATATATATATATATTACGTCAAAACAAACGAAGGGCCTAAATAATAGGGGTACTTACGTGTAGTTCTTAATAAGTAGACTTATTATCTAATATGTCCTATGAAAAAAATTTGTCATAAAACGTCACTAATTGTAAATTTTACAACAATTTATAAAAATCATAACAAAAAAAAGTCAATAATTATCAATTTTTAGCAACATAAAAAAAATTGTCACAATAAAATTATTTATAATTATAACTTTACCAAAATTTATTTTTAATAAAATTTTATAAAAATTAAGTCCAATTATTAGGACCAATGTTTGCCCTAAATAATAAAATTTAAGAATTTTTTCTACCAAACATTATTCTTTTTCTATATAGCATTTAAATTTTAAATGGAAGTAAATACAGTACATTTTTTGGGCGCCAGTTGTTGGTAGTTTTGTTGTCATTCTCCAAAACAGATGATTTGCAATCGGAACTTGTTTTTGAATCTCATCAACAAAGCTACCACTCTCTCTCATCTCAGCCAAACCCACACCCAAATCATCCTCAACGGTCTTCACAACGACCTCATAACGGTCACTAAGCTCACCCACAAGCTCTCAGACCTCAATCACATACACCACGCAAGTCTCCTCTGTTCCACATTTCCCAATCCTGATCTATTCCTCTTCAATGTCCTCATCAGAGGCTTCTCAAAGAACAACTCACCTCACAATGCTCTTTCTCTCTATCTTCACCTTCGCACAAACACTACCCTTAAGCCTGATAACTTTACTTATGCTTTTGTTGTATCTGCATCGTCATCTTTGTCTGAGAAAGTGGGTTTGTTGCTTCATTCCCATTCAATTGTTGATGGGTTTTGCTCGGATTTGTTTGTTGGGTCTGCTCTTGTTGATATGTATTTTAATTTTTCAAAGGTTTTATCTGCGTATAAGGTGTTTGATGAAATTCCCAATCCAGACACTGTTTTGTGGAATACAATGATTTCTGGGTTAGTGAAAAATTGTTTCTTTAGCGAGTCGATGAGGGTTTTTTGTGATATGGTTGTAGGTGGGACCCAATTCGACTCAACAACGTTGACTGCAGTGCTTCCAGCTGCAGCAGAGTTGCAGGAGTTGAGAGTTGGGATGATGATTCAGTGTTTGGCAGTGAAGGTTGGGTTTCATTGTCATGAATATATTCTTACGGGTTTGATTTCGTTGTATTCAAAATGCGGGGAAATTTTCACAGCGAGGTCATTGTTTGAGCAGATTGGGTACCCTGATTTGATATCTTATAATGCAATGATTTCTGGGTTTTCTTGTAATAATGAGACTGAGTCTTCAGTGAGGCTCTTTAAAGAATTGCTTGTTTTGGAATTGAGAGTCAATTCAAGCACCGTTGTAGGTTTGATTCCTGTTTTTTCTCCCTTTGGTCGTTTGGATCTAACACATTCAATTCATTGTTTCTGTTTGAAGTCTGGTATGGTTTCAAATCCCTCAGTATCGACTGCTTTAACTACTGTCTATAGTCGATTGTGCGAAATTGAATCTGCGAGGCAGCTTTTTGATGATTCCCCAGAGAAAAGCTTGGCTTCGTGGAATGCTATGATTTCAGGATATGCCCAAAATGGGCTAACGGAAATGGCAATATCTCTATTCCGGGAGATGCAGGTGTTTGAAATCCGTCCAAATCCTGTCACAATTACAAGTATTCTATCAGCATGCTCTCAACTTGGAACTCTTAGTCTAGGGAAATGGGTCCATGATTTAATAAAGAAAGAGAGTTTTGAGTCCAACATTTATGTGTCAACTGCTTTAATTGACATGTATGCAAAGTGCGGAAGCATTGTGGAGGCACGGCGGTTATTTGACACTGTGCAGGAGAAGAATGTGGTCACCTGGAATGCCATGATTTCTGGTTATGGCCTCCATGGGCATGGACATGACGCACTTAACCTCTTTACTGAAATGGTAGATTCAAGGATTTCCCCAACTGGGGTTACTTTCCTTTCTGTCTTGTATTCTTGCAGTCATGCTGGCTTGGTGAGAGAAGGAGAGGAGATTTTCCATTCTATGGTCCATGATCATGGTTTTGAGCCCTTGGCTGAGCATTATGCTTGCATGGTTGACCTTCTTGGTCGAGCTGGAAAATTAGAGAAGGCCTTGGAATTCATTAAAAGAATGCCTGTTGGGCCAGGCCCTGCTGTATGGGGTGCATTACTTGGTGCTTGCATGATTCATAAGGACACAAACCTTGCACAGTTGGCTTCTGATAAGTTGTTTGAATTGGACCCACAAAATGTAGGATACTATGTCCTACTCTCTAACATATACTCAGCTGACCGGAACTATCCTCAGGCTGCTTCAGTTCGACAGGTGGTTAAGAAGAGAAATCTGGCAAAGATTCCTGGGTGTACCCTTATAGAGGTTAATGGGACCCCACATGTCTTTACATCCAGTGACCAGTCTCACCCACAAGCAGCTGCAATCTACTCAAAACTAGAGAAGTTGATGGGAGAGATGAGGGAGGCTGGATTTCAGACAGAGACTATCACAGCATTGCATGATGTGGAGGAGGAGGAGAAGGAGCTAATGGTGAAGGTTCATAGTGAGAAGTTGGCCATTGCTTTTGGGCTTATAGCTTCTGAACCGGGAACGGAGATCCGGATCATCAAGAATCTTCGGGTGTGTTTAGACTGTCATAATTTTACGAAATTCATATCCAACATCACAGGAAGAGTTATAGTTGTAAGGGATGCTAATAGGTTCCATCATTTCAAAGATGGTGTGTGTTCTTGCTTAGATTACTGGTGAATTTTTTTTTAATTTTTCTCCACCAATGAAAAATGCCTGGGTTGGGATTTGGGATTTACATCTTAAAGTCATTTTGATCAATATGGTTGCCTGTGGACTGGGTTTTTGTGTTTAAACGGATGATGACCTAAGTCATGCCAGAACAAGGAGGTGGCATTGTACCATTCACTCTTGAGATTCCTCTTGATCAATCAATCTACGCATCGCTAGCTTATCCGGCACTACTTGAAGTGTTCATTAATTCATTGTCAGGTTGCCAATTGAAAAAAAAGAAAAATTTTAAAATTCAGTCCCGGATTCAATCATAGTGGAAGTTTTTGTGAAGACACCATTGCGCTGGCCAAAGATCATATGATTGGAAGGAAATTTGGGTTCCTGCATGTTGATCAGGAAATATTGCTGGATCCTAACTATACAATTCAAATTTCTTATTTGGAACGAACCAAAACATGTTGTATTCATTCAAAGATGCACCAGATTTCTTGTCATCCGTGGATCATAGCCTGAATGAAATGGCATTGTTTGATGTGCTGGTACAAAGTGCTGTGAGATTGAGAATAGAGTTATGTTATGTCTATTTAACAAAACAAAATGAATTCAACAAACTCCAATTGGAATCTAACCTGAATCTTCTTAAATTATTCCTTCGGATTTGTTCCATGTGAATCTCAAGCTTTTTGTTAAATTTTGGGATGAGAATCAGCATGCCAGATGGGTTTCTTCCTTCCAAGTTCCAAGTTCTCATCTTTGTTATTTAGATGAAGAAATGTTTTAAATATGTGGACAGTGATTTGGAAAATGGCTGTTTGAGGTGCCTGTTTGCACAAACAGGTTTTTTTTTATGGGTTATTTTCAAAGCTTTAAATTTATTGCAGTGTCCAAAGTATTTAAACTTTTCCTCTACCAAATTTGTGTTATTCAAGATTTATTTATTCAGGCAGTGTTCATAGAGATGAAATTGTTCTTTCATGTTATCATTGTCATCTTTTTGGGACGTGGTGATGAGTGTGTTCAACAAGCTTGTCAAACTGTTTTTACATTTTCAAACCAAAAATTTACTCATCAATGTGCTGTGTACAAGTATAAAATTTTAAATCTGTGTCAAAGAACCATCTGGAAAGCTTTGTTTCTAGGCTAATTTGGAAGTCGTAACATAGCAAAATATGGCACTGCAGTTTTCAGTTTTGATGTAGTTCTGTTTAGTGGTTGAGTTTCTGTACATCATAAAATCAACTGATAGCTAATTGGCTTGCATTAATTTGTTGACATTACAGTTTTCAAGGGGTAACTATAATAAATGTCTTGCAGTATGCTCGAACAACAGTGGATCTTGCACCATCCCACAATATTATTTGAGTTCTACTTTTGGCTTCATGGTCTTCTCTTAATTACAACTAGAAGCAACGTCTTTTCCCTCTTTCCTTACCTTTCTCTTACAAAAAGCTAAACAAACATATTTTGTGTTCTTTTAGTATTTGATATTTGGTGCATTTCTCTTGAAGGTTTTGTAAGTGTCCTGTTTTGTACTGCAGAGGAAGTCCTTATTTTGAATGTAATGTTGTTGATTACGGAGACGCTCTCAGTTCAGTTGAGGATGCAAAAGGTACATTGTGCTCACTTCAATCTGTTTTCATTTCAGCATGATAAGTTTTTTTTTGTCATCATGTTATGTTTCAAACATTTTGTCTGTTATGTCAACGGATTTAAATTCCTTCGTTTACAAGTAGAATGTGAATGGTGTAATAGTGAGAAAAAAACTTAAGTTTCTGATGAATATGCTTTTGAGTTGATCTACACACCTCATAAAATTAGGGCTCAAAATAACTGTGTGCAACATTTTTCTTTCATTCACATACAAAAACCGAGTACAATTCATTCAGCTAAACAAAACTCTCCCCCTCTGGTTTTATTCTTTCTTCTGCAACTCCATTTTGCTGGTACATACATCACACCGGTAAACATACAAAATTTACATGTATTTCTCCGGATAAGCATAAATCTCAAAAAGAAACAAAGTGAAACATTTTAGCAATTGATGCCACATTGCTTGACATCGGGCCCCTTTGTTTTCATCACAAATGGGTCAATCCGGACCCAAAGCAAAGAGAAGATAGAAGCCAAAAGCACTGACCATATAACAACAATGGTGGGTGTCCTGTTTTGCCTCCCCATGAGACCTTTTAGGAATGGGTAGAGATGTACAATGACCCAAAAGGCGAAGAAGAGCTTTCCAAACAGTGGACCCCACGATTGGTACCCGTTGTTTATGGCATCTGAAATTCCAGCTACAACCCCAACAAGGTTGATGACTAAGATTGTGGTTGGAGGTATAAGTAGGGTGGTCCATTTAAAAGCGTATAGCTCTCCAAAGTCCTCATCGTCTGATGCCTTGGATGTGACAGTAAAGTTTGTGTCAATACCTGCCAAAATCTTGAGTAGACCCTGTACAACAGCAAACAGGTGTGCAGACACACCACCTATAACCCAAAATTGCTCGTTTCTCCACCACTCTTCTATGCTTACTCCGCTCCACCTCAGCTCAAGAATGCCCGTTGTGAAGATTGAGATGAACAGGGCAATGAAAAAGAGACTGGCAAAGGTGCTTATCTGGATTCAGAATGAATAAAGATTCAGTTCTCTAGCAACAGAATAGAAGGCAATCAAAAGGCAATTTGGAGAACATGTAAGCATACTTGCCTCTGAAAAAATGAACTTTTAAGCATCCATTTTGTTACGTGTTAAAACATGGAAAGGAACTATGTGGTATTTTTTCCTAGTGTCCGACATTCCTTGGTTAATGTGTTATTGGCTATGTTACATGGAGTCTTTAAAATAAACTAATTCCTGACTTGGACACCCCACACTTGAACAACGCTGTGGGATATGTGTCCGATACTTTCCATCAAACACTTCTTATATATTTGTATGTAACACTATCATTATATGTATATATTGTTGTCTAATTAATATAAAATGAGTAACATGCCTTTTTGACAATGTATGTTGCATATAACATCATTTTATCTCACTTATTTAGCATCTCCTTGATGCTCTTTCAATAATACTTATTCCTTATTTATCAAAAAATATATATATAAATATGACCCTTCTTTGCCAAGCCCACGTACCCTTAAATTTGAGGTTTATTGGATTCGACCTCTAGATACACACCGACACCCAACACCCATACCCGAGTTCATGTAACATAGGTTATTGGTAAGAAGAAGGATCATATTAGTACCTCTGGCATAATGAACTTGTCTGTGAGCAAGCAGATGGCGGGGAGCGTACAGTATGCAAGTAGAGGTATGGAGGTGAAAGGATAGATAGTTGTGTTGATATATGCAAAGCGCTCAAGCCATTTAAGTTTCCCTCCCTTGTAGCCATAAAAAACTGGGCTATGACGGCTGAAAAAAATCTCAACTGAACCCAGAGCCCAACGAAGCACCTGGTTAAGACGATCTGATAGATTGATAGGAGCAGACCCTTTAAATGCATCCCTCTTTGGCATACAGTATATGGATCTCCAACCACGGCAATGCATCTTGAAACCTGTTAGGATATCCTCTGTAATAGAGCCGTAAATCCAACCCAACTGCACAGTCAAGAACGATCAAAGATATGAATCAATGGATGGCTTAAATGTTGTCATATGAGACACTTGGATGCTTATGTTTTCGTTTTCAGAATAGTAATATTATAGAGAATAATGCTGATACAGATAAATCAGGAATTGCAGCTCATTAAATAACGAGAAATTGTTGGTTTCACATATGCTTAAATTGATAGTGCAGTTAGAATTAGGGGGTATGGGAGGCTTTGCGAAACTCATTGCAAAAACTTCTGATATGCTTGTTATGAATAATTTGATATATTACCTCAGTACCCCACTCAGTTTTGTCTTCATAACCACAGCTGATCACGTGAATGGCTTCTTTCAGCAGGGCTGCCGGGCTTGAGGAAGGAGGGACCCCACCTTCAAACATTAAGGTAGAAGTCACAAATATCGCAGACTGTCCGAACTTCTTTTCAAAATTCATTTGGGACATTAACAGCTCGTTGTCGTCATCAAATCCTGATCACAAAACGAATGTAAGTCATGTATAGTTGAGGCTGAAGAAATTAATTTAGGAAACAATCCAGCCAGTTTGTCATAGTAAAGAATGTCAAAAACCTTGAATGTTTGCACTTTCTTCATTTGCACCGTGTTTAGAATATGTTGGAAGCTTTTTGCGGCGTCCAAAACATGGGCAGCAGTCACAGCTTACCATTTTCGGGCGCTTTGTATCCTTTGGAGGATTGTAACCATATAATGCTTGCCTTCTGAAGACACATCCTGTGCCGACATACACAGGACCCTGGATTCCATCTAGACCTTTCATGTTAATCTGCCAAAGAAGAACAGAAAAAGTAAATAAATAACATTTTCTTAATTGTACTCTAAATCTGAGTGAAATAAGTTTCAGTTAATATTTATTGTTGTCATTTCTTGTAGGGACTTACGTCAAAGAAGACTGTATTTCTGTTGGCGTATCGATCGTGCCTATCAATGCCATCAAACCTTTGAGGGAATTGAACATAACAAACCTTTTTGCCAAGTTGTGGGTCCATCAAGAAACACATTGCCTCTCGGGCAGCCTTGCTGTTATTTATGTAATGGTCACAATCCAAGTTCAGCATGAATGGAGCATTGGTAAGCACTCCGGATACACGAATCTGCAGGTATGAATCCATAGGATCAAATACCATACTCCATATTTTAGTTATATTTTGTGAATTTATTTCCATGATTAACAGAAGAATTAGAAGAGCTAGTGATCTTTACCAGGGCATTCATGGCACCGGCTTTCTTGTGATGTTGGAAACCAGGCCTCTTCTCACGAGATACATAGACTAGACGGGGAAGCTCATTTCCTTCTGCATCAAGGCCCCCACTGTGACCCAAAAAGACTTGAATCATACCCGGATGATCTTTGGTATTATTTCCTGGCCATGGTGTTCCATCTTGCATGATCCACCCTTCTAGGGGAATCTTCACGGCTTTTGCAACAAGCGCATTAATCCGAACCTTAAATTCTTCGTACTCTCTCTGTCAATGGCAAATAAAGAGGCTAATATTCAAACTGTTTTCAGTTTTTAACCAGAGATGAAATCATGAGTCTTAAGATTCAAACCTTCATTGCTCTCCTCTCTTTGACAAATGTTGGCTGGACTTTGTCCTGGAGATAATCAATTTTGAGAGAGAAGTACATCTCTGGTGCTCGAGGCTCTATTAAAAATTTCTTACAGAAGGGAACCCATTTCCTGGAAAATTCTGCAGTCTCCGACAGTGCTTCAAAAGTAAGCATCGAAGCACCATCATCAGAAATGTAGCACGAGATTTTGTCGACAGGGTAGTCCATTGCTAAGATTGATAGAACTGTGTTTGCAGTAACAAGAGGAGGTTCTTTCATGGGATCCACCGTACTGACAAAGAGATCTACCGGAGCTAGCATATTTGGTTCCCCTTCCCTCTCATACCTGCAATACAAATTTTTGATCTATAATTTTGTATGATCACAACATAGATTCAATCTAGTTTCTCTTTTGAATTTATTGATATTTGCTGTTATGTTTTGTGACATGTAACTATGTAAGTTACCCAAGTGTTTTCACCTGAGAGAAAGGCGATCAAGATAGGTCTCGCGATCAATTGGGAGCCATTTAGGAAACTGATCAAGAATCCATGAGAAAGCAAACCAAATCTCACAGATCACAGAAGTTAGCCAGAGCCCAATGGCATCGTGCACTGGGTTCAAGATTCTGTACCGGAGAAAGATGGCCAACACAACAAGTCGAGTCACAATAATCATCCGGTATGGGTTGATCTTGCTAGATGCAATTGGTACTTTCCTTGAGAGTGGCTGCCTTGCTTCATCTAGCCTGCATTTATTGATGATTGTATTGGATGATTTATGAGAAAAATGGACACACAATAAAATGTTGTTATTAACATCTTGTACAAATTATTTTCGCCTTTTTTTTTTCTCCCACTCTCTTTGCTCTCATTTTATTGATGTAATCTCAGTGTACTCCTCGTGTAGTCTTTTTTAATCAATGAAATCTCTTCTTTGCTAAAATATATATGTTGACTGTTGAGAAAATGGTTTTGGTTGTATGTGATTCTCAAGAAATTTTTTTGGCTGTTGGGAAAAAATAGTTTTAGCTTGTATGTATAAAATGTTATTTTGAGATAGCAATATTGGAAGAACTTTGGTGCATACATGGCCATGTCAGGGTCAACCAAGTCATCTGCTTCGGGCCCCAGATTGCCTTGCTGAAATTTCCAGTCATCCATCCTCTCTTTCCACCCTCCCTCTTTCCTTTCATCCCATCTTGCACTTCCTAATTCGTACATCAGGTCATGTAGAACACACTAAATAAGTACACATATATATGCATTATGTGGAAGAAAGTATAACCCAGAACATGTTGTGAGGAAGTGTTTTCACAAAACATATTTGAGATGGGTATATGGAAATTGAAAACCTACCAGGCTCGGAAACTGGATATGGATGCACACGTTTATGTAGCGAACCAGATAACATCTGCTGATCTCCATGACTACCTGATATGGGGAACTCACCACTAACCTGCATTTACATGAATTTTTTATAGCTTTTTGAGTGTTGGATCAAAATTTAAGCAAAAGACATACTACATGATTCAAGTATGAACTAAAGTGTTTGTTTACCGGGCGGGAGCGACCACCAGATATGACAGGTGGGTATTGGGCGTTGTCATCATCCTCTGGACCTCTTCCATAGCTCATCTTGCCATGAAGCATGGCTTCTGCAAGTTGATTGTTCTTGTTTTGTTCGTCGTCGATTTTGAATTCGTGTTCAATATCATCCACATCTTCTTCTTCTTCATCTCCCTCCACTCTTGGGCTCCCTTTGTTTTTTTCAGGAAAGACACAAAAAGCATGTATAAGTGTTTGATTCTAGTTCTAGTACATTTATATTCTTTACTGTCACTGCAATCCTCATCATCCAATGTAATTTCCATTGATTACAGACGAACGAATTGGGTTTTTCATGGAAAATGCTACCATGCATACTCCCTACAAATTTTTGAAGTGAAAATTACAAATGTTTATGATTTGTGTTATGCTACATGGTGATAAAAATTATAAGGGTAAATTATGCAAATGGTTCCCATAATTTACACGATATATCAATTTGATCTCTATTGTTTCAATTTGTTTGATTTTGCCTCTTAATTTAACCGATTGTGTCATTTTAGTCTAATAAATAACGGTTGTTAAGTTTAGTGGACGGAAAATCTACATTATGTGTCAATTTGGTTCCTGTAATTTATACAATGTGTCAATTTGACCCTTGTTGTTTTAATTTACTCGATTTTGACATGGACCAAATTGACACATTATATAAACTATAAGGACTAAATTGACACATAGTTCAACTTTCCGTCCACCAAACTTAACAATCTTATTTATTGGACTGAAATAACTCAATCCGTTAAATTAAGCAGCAAAATCGAGAAAATTAAAATAACAGGAACCAAATTGACACATCTTGTAAACTATAGGGCCTATTTGTATAATTTACCCAAATTATAAATAGTAATAAATTTATGAGATGCACTACTAAAGTGAAAGTTATAATGTATTGAAAATGTTACTAACCATTTTTAATGAAAAAAAGTTATGATATATTATGTTGTTTGTTACGACACATTGTGACTATGTTACATAATACGGCATTGCTCCTAAAAGGGATGTACACCATAACAACTCTCGTTTTCATTGACGCTCCTTCAGTTGTGTAAGTTAGCAGCAAGCCCATAAACACTATTTATTTTATTTATTTTTCAGAAAAATATACAAAATACAGTATTGGTATGTTGCCTCACAACACACAGAATACAGTATTGCCAGCACTGCATTATATACACTTTTTTGTGAATGATTTCTGTGTTTGTGATAATTTTTGGTAAGTTGATGGATGTGTCGGTTTGTGTAGTAGTAAGTTGTGCTAATCATATTGGTGCAGCAACAACAAGGACAACAACAGTATGACTGATGAGTTTTGTTAGTAGTACCTTTGAGACGTTTGTATCTGGTCTTGCACTGAGGGCACAGTTGGGAGCCTTCTCTTCTCTCATACTCATAACACGGGCGACACACCGGAAAACCACACTCATTGCAGGCCACAAACAAGTCTCCGTCCACCGTCAGACCAATTCCATCGCCGCATATCTCACAGAATTGACCTGTCAAATCCTTCAAAGGCTTGTGCTGTTATTTGCACCAATATCACCAAAAACCAAATATGTTAGTCATCTTCACAATTCAATAATTATCTATCCATATCATGTACGTTTTGTTAATGTCTGTTATGTACCTCTTCATGGCCATGGATGACAACAAGCTCATTGCGGTTGTGTGAACCGGCAACTAGTCCGGCACTGGCTTCCATGGTGGTGGTGGTGGTGGTGGTTACTGTGGTGATGGGAATGGGACTGATGAGAGGGGTATGGTAAGTTTGGGCTTGGTTTTTATGGATTGAAAATGAGGGGGGAGATAGTAGTCTCTCTCTCTCACCTAATGTGTCCACATAATGGGTGGTGGTGTTGGTTGTAGAGTCCCCATTGCCTTGAAGTTAAGCTTCCTCTATTCAACTACCATGCACATCCTCTCTCTCTCTCTCTCTCTCTCTAACGACTACCTTGTGTAGAAATGGTTAAGTTAATTTGTCTAAATCTCCCTCTGATATTTTTTGAATCAAATTGGTATGGTTGCCTCCTTCATACGGATTAGACAATTTGACTTAAAAAAAATAAAAAATAAAAAAAAGGAGAAAGAAAGAAAGAAAGAAATATAAAAAAGAAGGAAAAACTTAAACAATCCGAATCCCAAATCAATATCTCAATAATTAATACACTTCAATATCATATCATATTCTAGTTTAATAAAACTATTAAATAAGAGGCATATTAACTAACTAATAAAATCTAGTAAGTAAAACAAATACTAAAAAATAAAATTATAATTAAATTAAACTCTTAAATAAATAAATAAAAAAGAATATACTAAATCCTCTAAGTATTTGTATCTCAATTAATCCATAAGATTTCCTTATATTTCAATAAGTCCTATTATTTTAGATATTTAATCCATCAAAACATAATTATTTTATGAATAATTTTACATTTATAAATAGTTTTTAACCTCTTAGCAACGTAGTGTGCATTGTTTTGAACTATTTTAAATGTTCTATGGTGTGAACATGCACATTAAACAAATTTAACAGTGTGAATATTCACATCATGAAACATTTATGTGAACATTAATGCGCACATCATCCTATTATTATTAGGGGTATTTTGGTAACTTTGTCATCCAAAAAAATTATTAGAATATAAGAAAATAACTTGGATTAAGTGAAAGTGAAAAAAGATTTATGAATAAATGCTCATCTATACTATATATGAAGAAAAATAGAGTTTTTAACTTTAAGAGTTCTAGGAGTTTCAAAACTCCAATTCAATTATGTTGTTTTTCGGTTATTTTTTAAAAAGAAAAAAAAAATCATTGGCTAATAAAGATTAAAATTTAAAATTATAGTTAATAAAGAATTTATTGAATTCGCATTTCATTTAGGGATTTAAATTTCAAAATCCACATGATTTAAGTAATTGTTTTCTATAATAAAAATATACTCTATATTTTACCTAGCTAAAAAAAAATTTTACACAAGAAAAATCTTTCATTGCTTTCAAAATAAAAAGGAAACTTACACAATAAACATTTTCATCGCTACCAAAATAAATATTTTTTATGTCTCTCTTTCAAAATAGTGATAATTAATATTTCATTGGTGTTTAAATATTTTTTCTTTTTATTTTTGCCTTTTGTTCAAGCTTAATCTCCACGTTTGTCCAGTGGCAACGGAACAACAATAAATTAGATTCATATGTGAAGATGACCATGAATGCCTCCTTCAAATTCTAAGGTATACAAATAGTTGTTGGCCTCGGTATTAAGATTGGATGTGAGATTTTTTACATGTTTGTTATTTCTAAGACATGTAACGAATCAATGTTTCAAATATAATCTTTTAAACTGTCAATATTATTAAAAAAAAAATAATTAGAGTTTTTGATTGATTATACCTCTTTCACATAGATTAAAAATAAAATATAAAAAAAGAATTGTATCTTTTATTGATTTTATATATGTAGTCCTTAAAAGTCAATAATTATATTTTTCATAATTTTTAGTTTCAATTCTATTTAGTGAATATTTAATTTATCAATTAGTGTGTTTCTTATATATAGAGTATACTCTGATCTATATCTATCTATATATATACTATTACCGAGCAAAAAAAACTTTTCGTCTCAGAGACTTAATATAAAATTTTAAAAGTTATGAAATACAAGTGACATACAATTATTGGCGAATTTAACCATATCTATAATTTTAAAATTAAAAAATATATATATTTATATGTAGAAAGTCAAATAAATAAATTTAATCATATTTAAGCCACATTAATTTGATATTTGAAAATCCTTAAAAGGAAATTCTAAATTTAAATTTAGTAGTATTATATAATTTAAAATTATAAAAATATTTACTTCAAAATATTATTCATGTTTTAAAATATTGGAAACTAAAAAATAAATATAATTTAATACTATTGACTTATCTAATCATATCTAATTTTTAAATTCAAATTCAATAAAAAAAAAAGAGGTTACATAAAATGTCGAAAAATAAAATCAACTCAAACTCGGCTTCTAAGCAAATCGTCTGCCATCTCAGAGAGAGTGTGAAAATGGTCGAAAATGTGAAAATCGGGCTAGAATGCGAAAAGTCAACCCCGAGAGGGCGGAAAATGGCCGGAAAAGACGGAATATGGAAAAGGCACGAAGATCAAGAGGAACTCGGGAGAAACAAACCCCAAGTGGCGGAAATCAAGAAAAAGACACCAAAACGAAGTTTCGTTCGGTTCAAAACGTCCGAAACGACGAGGTATTCGCGAATCGAAAGACGAAAAAGTGTTGAAAACACAAGAAAATGGAGAAATGAAGGAAGGAAAATGATCTAGAGAGAGAGGGAGGGAGTTTTTGACCGAGAACAAGTGAAGAAAATAGGGCTAGAGGCCCTATTTTAAAAGACCCGTGGCCAAAAGACCAAACTGCCCCGATTCAGGCATGTTTGGCCGGTCGGCCACACTGTTGGCCGGTTGGCCAAATATTTGGTTGGTAGACTTTTCAGATGACCGGCGGACAACCAGTGAGCTCCCCTGATGGCCGGTGAGCCTCCTAAAACCTTGTTTGGGTCAGAGGTGTGGTTTGGGGCCTTCATTGCTCATGACAATGCAAGAAAGTGCATTTTCGAAGCTCAGCCGATCTCCGTTTCGACCTCAGACCGTGTCTTCTGTGCGTGGCACCTGAACACGAGTGCGGTGTATCCTTTTTTGTATCCTTTTGTCTCTTTCAAGATTCGAAAGTTGCCCCCACATGCATTGTCTTGCATTTGCATGCCTTACTTGCATTTCTTTGCATTTTAAATCCCATGGTCTGGCGAGACCTTAAACACGTACGGTCTGGTGACACCTTAACTACGCTTGGTCTAGGAGACCTTAAATCCTCTGAAGGTGCAAGACCTTTGGTGTTTGATTAGGCATGATCCTTGTCGAGCATCGTAATGCACACCTCGCATGCATATGTCATGCCTTCCGTTGTAAATATATTGCATTGTCATGCATTCCAAGTGACATGCGTTGTCGCGCATTCAAAATCGCTCGGTCTAGCGAGACGTTAAACACGCTCAGTCTAGGAGACCTTAAATCCTCTAAAGATGCAAGACCTTTGGTTTTTGCATGCATACACACGTCGTAGCAAGCACAACTTGCATTGATGTGCATTGCCCACATGCATTATCATGTATCTCAAGCGACACGCGTTGTCGCGCATTCGAGTCCACATGCATTATCATGCATCTTAAGCAACACACGTTGTCGCGCATTCGTGTCCACATGCATTCCATGCATTTCAAGCGACACGCGTCGTCGCTTATTCGAGTTCACATGCATTTCAAAAGCCGCGCGTTGTCGCGCGTTTCAAAATCATGCATCATCATGCATTTGCATTTCAAAAAAAAAAAAGAAAACAACAAAAACAACATGCATCATTTGCATTTCAAAAACACAAAAAAAAAAACATGCAGTATCATGCATTTTCCCTTCATCATGCATTGTCATGCATTCAAAAAACAAAACAAAAAACAAACATGCATATGTCATGCATTTCACTGTAAATAGTGCATGTCATGCGTTTCACTGTAAATAATGCATATGTCATGCATCATGGTAAATAGTGCATATGTCATGCATCACTGTAAACATTGCATATGTCATGCATTTTACTGTAAAGATTCCATCCGTTGCATATTTGTAAATATTGCATTGTAGCTTGCATGCATTCACTGCATCACCCCCATCTATGGCTTGCGCCTTTCCACGTTGAGCTTGGTCTGTTATGTACCTATACTTTTCACGTCGAAGCATAGTTCTGCATGTGTATGCGCCTATTCCACTGCTGGTATTCTGGTTTGAGGGTTGTGGCACCTTTTCTGTGTTAGATGTGGCTTGTTTGTGTCCATGCTTTTCCTAGGCAAGATACGGTTTTGCATCATTGTAAATAGTGCATATGTCATGCATTTCATTATATATAATGCATATGTCATGTATTTCACTGTAAACATTGCATATGTCATGCATTTTACTGTAAATATTCCATCCGTTGCATATTTGTAAATATTGCATTGTAGCTTGCATGCATTCACTGCATCACCCCCATCTATGGCTTGCGCCTTTCCATGTTGAGCTTGGTCTGTTATGTACCTATACTTTTCACGTCGAAGCATAGTTCTGCATGTGTATGCGCCTATTCCACTGCTGGTATTCTGGTTTGAGGGTTGTGGCACCTTTTCTGTGTTAGATGTGGCTTGTTTGTGTCCATGCTTTTCCTAGGCAAGATACGGTTTGGGCCGCAGGCCTTATCCATTGTAAATATTCCATTCTATTGCATATTTGTATATGTTACATTGTAGCTTGCATGCATTTGCCGCATCACATCCTGCTATGGCTTGCGCCTTTCCATGTTGAGCTTGGTCTGGTATGTGCTCATACTTTTCACGTCGAAGCACGGATCTGAGACTTTTGTGTACGCGCCTATTCAACTGCTGGTATTGTGGTTTGAGGGTTGCGGCACCGTTTCTGTGTTAGACGCGGTTTGCATGTGTACATGCCTTTCCTAGGCAAGATATGTTTCGGTCACGCCCCATATCCACTGTATATACTACATTGTAATGTAGTTCGATTGCATCCAGCATTAGGATCATGATCTTTTCTGAGCAGAGCATGCCTCACTTATGTCATGCCACCCAATTACTTATTCCTGCGTCCGTCTACATCACTCATAGTTCTGCTTGTGTACGCGCCTATTCCACTGCTGGTATTGTGGTTTGAGGGTTGCGGCACCTTTTCTGTGTTAGACGCGGTTTGCTTACACAAGAAAAATCTTTCATTGCTTT